ATATATATATATATATATATATATATATATATATATATATATATATATATATATATATATATATATATATATATATGAAATTCTGAAGAAATAACGTCTTATACAAGGACATTTTTTCATCCTCAAATTTCTCAAATCTCAGATTTTTATAATGATCAAAAATATATGTGCTGAGGCTGAGGGGATGCAACACTCTTCAGATTTTCATTAGTAGACCAAAACAACATAATTTTCCTACTGCTTTATAGTATGGTGTTGTTTTAACATCCCAGTAAGATATTCTCTAGTTTGTAAAACTTTAACAGAGTGAATACTTTTATAAAGCACCTGGGGTGAAGCCAGGTGGAGAGTTGAGTCTCTTTACAAATAACACTTTGGCACAAACCCCCCCAAAACAAAACATCTATTTTACTACTTCTGAGTCATGTTGCAATATTCATATCACAAATTTGGTATTTTGGATGCTAAACACACTCTTCTCTATCCAGGCAGCAAGCCGGAATTGAAAGAGGTCAGGAGGGGTGGAGAGAAGTCTAAAAAAAAATCATACTGCCCAGCTTTAGCAGTTTACATCTTTTTGGCACGTCTGTAAGTGTTTCCATGACAACTGGAGTAAAGACAGTCTCATGGATACAGTGCTGCTGATCTCTGGACGTGAACCAGAGGATGGCCAGCTATTGCAGGAAGTGGAAGACAGTGCAGGCTAAACGTTATCTTAAACCAAACCAAACATGTGGGAGAACTCAGTTGTAGACTAATTCAGCTTTAGGTCTGGGAAGAGAAATTTGCACCTTCAAACTTTGAATCACACATAGACAGCAATATCAGTGTATTCATACTTAAATATACAGGATTCCTGCACAGCTTGGAAATTAATGTATTTAAATTCAATTTAAGTTAAATAAAAGAAAAGTAATACATTCCAGACTTCATATTCTTTCCAGTTTTATAAATTTTCTGTTTCTCTCTTCCTACATTCCTCCTGACCTTTCTGGCAAACACTGCACTGCTCTGAAGTTCTCCAGCAAATTATTTGCATTCCCTGATGTGGGGATAAAAGTGCTGTAATTCCTGTACTTACATTTGCACTTCGTGTGGCGAATTCCCCTCTCAGGGAGTGTTCTTCTTCTTCTCTGCATGCAAAACAAGAATTTTGAAAGAACACACACAGGGCTATCCATGTCTAACATGAGCAGCTTGGAGTTGCTGGTGGGGTAAAGCATTAAGCAAGGCCATCTGTCATGCTTTTTCATGTTCTTTTTCTTCCACATAGATCATAAGAAGGGTTCTGACGATTGACTGGAGCTAATAAAAGATTGATGTTGGTTATTACCAATGTTGTCTGTTCTGGACTTTTGTTTTTCTAAGTTGAACTGCCATCATGAGGAAAATAGGATATAGAAAGAAAGTGTAAAATACCAGCAAGATATTGAAGCAAAGAAACAAACTCTCCAGAGACACAACTACTTTGGCGTGTTACAAATTAGCCAATCACAGGGTAGCAACTAGGTCTCTAGACAGATACTAGAATCAGGGTGTGGAAAACAGGGCAGCTGGGTTGGTCTGACTGTTGTTGTAAACTGCTTTTTAATAATTTCTTCTATTTGCAGGTATCTTCTCGGATTAAAAAGAGAAAATCAACTAACCAGGGTTGGGTGAACCAGCTGTTATAATAGAGAAGCAACTATTAACTGCAACTCAACTGCTTGAAATGGAATACATGTGGCTGGTTCCTTTTTTGTTGTGATTTTGGTGCTGATGGCTTGCCTGATTGATCATTTCATTCACCTGTCTAGCTCTTGTGTGTTCCTCATCTCTGCTCATCTGATCCACCTGCTCCTGCTTCTATTTAAACTCCTTGGTCCCAGCAATCAGTGCCAGATTATCCTTGAGCGATTGGTGTTGAGAGTTCTTTATTGTGTTCTGATTGCCTGAACCTGATCCATTTCTGCATTTGGACCTTTGAGCCTGCCTGTTTCTGTCTGATCTGTTTGATTGTACAGTCTTTGGACTCTGGGTGGATTCTTTTGTGGACTGAACCTGGATCTGCCTCTTTTCTTCACCCTGTGGATTATCCTGCCTTCCTTCGTCTGCTTGAATCTGATCTCCTGTCAACTCTGACGCCTTCTAGGCTTCCATGTCTGGAACTCTCTGGCAGCATCTGTTGCGTCTTGTCAGCTGATGGGCTGGAATCATCCTGGTTCTCTGGGGATGCACTGAATTGTAAAACCAGGTTAGTGACTTAAGTGATCATACTGTAATCATCCTCTGTCATATTATTGTAGTCACTAACCTGTGTTTGTCTCCGATAGATGTTCCTGCCCCAGACACAGACACTGCAGTTCCACTTCAGTAGTTGTTTAAATAAATGCCTTTTAAGTATTCCACTTTCTCTGTTGCCTGAATCCTACTTTCTGAGCCATTACACTTTTCCAAGATGGAAAGCCTGATTTTTAGCCTTCCAAATAATTGTGTGTCCCTAAATGCAATGTTTCCCCTCTGAAAGACCCCGATTACTGTGAACTTCCTGATTATAGAGGGTTATAGGATAGTGTTGTGTGTTAAGAGTGATCAGGATTGCTAAGAAGAATGCTGGGACTGCTCTCATCCTAAATATTTTATGGTCATGGCGCAATATCCTATTGTGTGTGTGTTGTTTCCCGAGTTCAGACGAGGATGCAGTATGTGATGTGTAGCCAACCAGAAATGGTTTCCCGAGGTAAAAAAAAAAAACTCACTAGTGTAGCAAGCAACTAGAGCCCCTTTCTGCACTTCTTCAGCAACACCTTTTCTTGTTCTGTTGTTTTTTTCTCTGTTAAATTGAGTTCACAATGCATCACCATTGCTTTTTCCTTGTTTAAGATGATGATTTACTCTGAACTTACCTTGATCTTGAGAGGTTCTGTAAGATATTCTGTCAAATATTTGATTTTTCCTGAATTCAATGTTTGCATATGGTGTTTTGGGCTTGCCATCTAGCTGTACATTTTAGGACCTGGTAGTTAGGCTACCATACTTTTCGAGTTAATAATTAGAGATTTTATTACAAGTGGTGATGAATTTCACGCAGATTAAACCCATCAATCTTTCCTTTGCTGAGGTTTACTTTGCAACAGCAGTTTTCTGACTAGCCTTGTCCTCACTGGATAATACACCATGTAAGTAATTAATTTTTTAAATTTGTATTTAATCTAGAGACTTCTTGTTCATTCTTTGTCCTTGGTGTAGATTTAGCTTTGACATTCTGCAACATGGCTGTTCTCTTACACTCATTTTTTTTCTGTTTTGTCTTTTTTTCAAATTTCTTGTATGAGAAATGTCCATTGAACAAAAGTTGCATTGTGAAACCTGAGCTCTGTGTGTTAAAAAAACAGTGAGTCTTCTTATTGTTTCTTGTTCTTGTAAAGATTTTTTTTCTATTGTCTCCTCCCATGGATATATCTATACACCTATTTTAGTACTTTATAACTAAAATTATAATTGCAAAGAAAAACAATGTCCCAAAATGAATAAAGAGTCCAACAGGTAAAAGATAAATAGTTTATGTGATTCTGTCACATAGCATTTACCTTAATTCTATACACAGCGTGATATACAGTAGGTCATCTCTTTTTTTGTACAGTTTGACATAGTGATTCATTTTTTTTTAGCATGCATTTTAGAATGACAACAAAAAGCTCCACAAATACACACTTAAAACTAGAGTTTCTCCACACGGTAAAACGTACAAAATGTAACCTTGGATCTAAAGCTTGAACAGTTTGAACACACAATGGAGAAGCACACCATCAGACTACCATGACTTTTACCGTTCAGAGCAATGTAGTCAACAGTAAGACACAAAAATACATGTTCTGGATTCAAAAAAATAAACACATTTTTTTTTTTTTTTTTCAAGTCACAATATAATCTTAGAAGTACACAAGAATGGTTCTCTTTTGACAATTCAAAAGAGTAAAGCAGCGTGGTTACTACACAAGGAGGATTGTGTGTACGGGCTGATACTTCAACAACTAGCCTATAACTTTGCAGGTCGCTACCAACAGCCTGTATTGGGGCTTATTTAATTTTCTCGCTTCTCCTTTTGCATTCCTGCTTTAACTGGCTGCTGAAGTCACAGTGCGGGTCGGTGCTTTTTTCGTTTTGCTTATTGCAAATCGGATCTGATTGTGTGGGTACACAGGATTGCTACGGTGCAGATGTGTACCGCATAAGTCCCACTTAGGGACGTGGTCAATTTATGCTACACTTTTGCTCCGTCCCCATACAGAGGGGTTAAGGGTGAAACAAAGCTTGGAAGAATCAAGTCATGCAGTTTTTTTTTTCTTCTGTAGCAACCAGAGATTATGAGGAATAATAAATTTGGTTTGCAAAGAGAGAGAAATGAGCAGCACTAAATGCATAAAAAGGGGGGTAGGGAGTTGGGGCTTCTATAATGGCAGCTGCATCACAGGGGGAGCTCTGTCTCATTCAGGTTTGTGCTAAAACTAACTGGAAGATTTAGCATCAGGTCCACTTGGTCTTCCATGATCTAGTGTTTCAAACTGCAGCTTTCAACCAAGAGTATTTTGGACACGGATAAACATACACACTCACATTTACATACAGTAGAGCACTGAATCTACCGAGGCCCTGCTACACCACACAAGATATTTTTAAACAGAGTTTTTTTTCTTCTTCAATCAGCAGATTGAGCAACCTATTGCAACAATAGGTTGGGAAAATTGTCAACATTGCTACATGAAAAAAAAAAAAAAAAATGAAAGGAGATTATGAGCATGTTTAAAGAAGTGATAGGCTAAAACAATTTAATTTAATAGCTATATAGCTCGAGGAAAGTGATAAAGATTAGAAAATATTAAATCAATTAAGTCCTTATTTTCCCAAGGAATTCCAAAGTTATGCCATCTTTTCATCATCTAGGACATGCCTTTTTCAGAAATTATAACCATCCATTTGCATTGTTAACTGTCATTTTGCCCTTTTTAATAGGCGATGGTTTAATATTTGTTTTGAAAAACTGATATTTATATTTTTTTTATAATTTGCTTATTATCTAGAAGAAAACTGGGTCATATGATTCCATTTACAGCGTCTCCCAACAGCTGTTTCTGTAAAGCTATATGTGTTTTATCAAAGATCATGAACAACATCTTTGATAAGTCAGTTCACCAGGAGATAAATCGTGTTTTACATGAATTGGGATAAAGAAATTTGGATTTAAGGTCCTTGCTACACGGTTCCCGTTGTAATCAATCTACACCCCTTCCTGCGGTGGTTTGACATAACTGAATGGGGCTTCTTGTAATTTAACGACATCATCCATACTGAACCCTTATGAAAGTCTTCAAATGGACCTTTATACGGGTGGCACGGTAGTGTGGTGGTTAACACCAGTGCCTTACAGCAAGAGGGTTCTGGGTTTGATTACAGGGGGAACCAGGACCTTTCTGTGTGGAGTTTGCATGTTCTCCCTGTGTCTGCATGGGTTTTCTTTGGGTTCATACAAAAAAACCTGCAGGTTAGGTTGATTCGAAATTGCAAGTGAGTGTGCGTGGTTGTTTGTCTTTGCGTGTGGCCCTGGGATGGCCTGGCGGACCTCTCGCCCATTGACTACCGGGCTCCAGTCTGCTGACCCCATTAGGGAACAAGCGGTAAGATGATGGAGCCTTTATATGTCGTCTAACTTGAGGGCAGTTTGGCATGGCCTTTCCAATGGCCAAAGGACCACATGACATAGCCCCTTGCTTTACTGGAGTGCGCAATGTGTGCAAGTGCATCTTCATTCCATTGTGGTAGAAAATTAACTTTTTGATTTACAAGCCTTTAAAAGCTCTGGCCATTACCTTATACCCATAAAATGGATTACGAATGAAAGAACAAGACAGTACTACATACAGTACATACAGTACTAAAGGAGCTTGCTCCATGTCCCACTGGTTGGAGATCTTGAAGCAGGCCCAAACTCACTGGAGGGACTAAAATAAAGCCTTTAAAATGTAATGTAATAACTTATGTAATGACTTAAATACAACATAAAAAATGAAGTATGTCTTTTAGGATCTAAATAAACAATGTTGTAGAAAAACAGGTTTAGGCTATGTGTAGTTCTGGAGTGAGGTATGAACTAGTGATAGGCTAAAAGTGACATGCAGAAGTTTCTGGCATTGAAATCCATACTTCACATATTTTAAGTTAAAGTTTGCATCTTTATACCCAAACTGGTTTAATCAGTACTTTTTTCATTACAATAAAAACTCACTATAGCATAGAATAGAAAGCATACCCAAAGAAAAAAAACTGTTTCTTTTTAAATATCTGTGGTAGTGTGGACAGGGCCTATCAAATAATAAATAGGCAGAGATGACTGTGATGTTGTATTTATTCAACTTAGCACATTATGTCTCTCTACACTGTATATACCTTAAGCAGAGTACGATTACGCTCCATTTTCAAAACACAAAGTGCCTCAACTGATACATCTTAATACACTTATTGCAATGGGAAGGAGATACCACAGCTAGAAACGTGATAAATGTCGCGTGTTACGACACTACGTAGCTACCATACCATCCATCTTGATACCTGACTCACCATCAAAAGACAAATGTGTGGATAGAACCACTTGGCCCAGATGTGCTGCAGTTGTTTAATGTACAGGAGCAATGTCTATTACATAAAGTTTCTCTTTAAGGACCATTTTTTTCCCCCTCCAATTCCAAAGCAGGAACAGAAAAAAAAAATGAGAAGTCAGAATAAATGTGAGAGAGCTTAACATAGTAAAGTCCTCCCAAGTTTTTTTTGTTTTGTTTGTCTTACAAAGAAGTCCCTCTCTTGTTGGCAGAACATTAAGCTGGGTTTGCTGTCAGTCATGAGCTTGTGTGCAGGCTCCTCCATGTTGTCCTGTAGCAGTGGCCTCCCGGCTCCGAATAGGGGGTCTCCCGCTGCAATAGGTCATCATTACTGATGACAGTCTTATCCCACTAGCATTCAAACAGGAATGAATGGTCTCAGTGAAACAGAAACACATCTCTGCACATCAGAATTCTGAAAGACCTTGTCATGCACAGGCTGAGCATGTGTATGTGAAGATTCAGAAAGCAACATGAGATGCTACAAACTTTTATACACCTCAGTGATTTAAGTGGGGAAGATAAATAAACAGTGAAGACAAAAGAAAAACATTTTTTCTTTAACCGAGTTTTGCCAAGCTGTGTGTTAGATACATCATGCTGTGAGCCAGTTGCCAAGCAACCGTGTGCTACTGGTAAAGATGCACTGTGGGGATGGGTGAGGCACTGTAGAGCTACAGGGTTCAATCCACTGCCCATCACCTGTTGCAGAGGCAATGTATGTCTATCAAGGTGCAGCAATATGACCTCAGTGTGCTGTTTTTTTAGTTAATACAAAACACTAAACATTTTTCCAATTTTAGGGATATCTATAAGGTTTGAGAGGTGCTTCTTGTTTTTATAAAAAACAAACTAACTTCTGAGCAAATATGTTTAATGCCCTCTAGTTCAAATGGCCAATTGTCAAATCTTTCAGAGGAACAAAAAATTCCAAAATGTTCCTCCATAATGCTCTTAGTTGAATATTGTTGGAAACTTAAATTTATACTAGAACAAATCTTTCCGAGCCAAGTTGCTGGTAGATGAACATTCTATTAATGCCTGGAACAATAAAGAAAACAGATATCTAGCGCAGTGTGAGAACAGTATTTGAATCTGATTTTTTATTATTCAGTAGTTTTTCAAATACTTTGAACATGGATTTGAGTGAATGTTTGCACCAGAACATTTCCTATAATTTAGTTTCACCATATAGTAGCATAGATACTACATTATATATTAAAGACTTGATTATTTGGACTTGATTACAATTATATCCAGGTTTTCCTAATGCATTTGTTTTGTATACATTTGATAATCCCATTCAAAGGGTTTAAGCTCTTTTAAAAGTTGAGCAACCAAATGCATTCGTTGTGGTGTAGTCTGTCAAATATTTCCTGATTGAAGGGCATGAAATAGATTTCCTGTCTTTGAATGTTAATCCCCCGTTAGGGTCTCTGGGACTTTGCTGTTATTCTGATGTGAGTGAGCTTTCTGTCACAGAGGGGATATTTGCTGGTGGCTGGGCCGACACATTTGGCTACACACCTGAGAATATTTCTCAATCAAGATGACAAGCGTATATAAGAAAGCGAAGGAATCATCTCAGATTCGCCAGCCAGACCTAAACCTGACACATCTTTCTTGTTGAAATGTGTCTTCTTGTGATTCTCCTTCAATGTGGCCTCCGTTATTGAGTCAGACAACCAGTGAACCTCAGTTTGTCTCCAATTTTCATGGTAAAGGTCTTACCTGTGTGCTTCATCACCTGCCTTCTCACTCTCCTGCACAACATCTCTTGCAAGAACCAACACTCTTGAATCTCACTCACATTCTCCTGGATCTCTGTGGTACAGTTTGCAAAGGCCGCTGAATCATTCCCCTACAGATCCATGCTATAACCCCTTCTTTTTTCAAGTAAAGAACTCTATCAGACCTCAGTTGTCATCAGCCAACTCCTTCCTGATCAGTCTGCTTTCTCCCCTCAGACCAACCATGTTCAACAGACTTCCAGATTCTTTTGCTCTTGTAAATAAAACCTTAGAACTCACCTGTTCTTCGTCTGATTCTGCATGTGGGTCAAAAACTACAAACAAACATGACCTAATCATCTGGCCAGTCTGACTTAGCAGAATCTCCCTCAGGTCTTTGCACTGGACGCGAGTGACTTCATCACCGCAACGTCAATCCACTCTTCTGCTGAACAGCAAAACGATTAAGATTAGCAGATGGAGCAGTTTACAGAAATGTTCCAGGAGCTGGTTAACAGAACCACTATTGCGGGGTCTACCCCCTCTACAGCTGGCGCAACGGCCATTCCTGAACTATTTCATCCCGCAACTTCTCATTTTCATTTTGCCAATTTCCCCACACCGAAGCCTTATGTGAAATTGGAAAGTGTCTTGGATTCCTGTTACAATGTTCACTAGTTTTCAGGCAATCCCCCAGGTTTTTGTCGTTTGATAAGGAAAAAAATCTATTTTGTAAACAGATTATTGAGAGGTTGCTTACAGCTGAGGGCTGAAGCAAATTTAAGGTGAGCTTAAATTTCAAATTTCCTTTGACCTGTTTATCTCTGAGAGGAAAGTGAAAGAGTATGGACAAGTACACAGTGAGTGGCTTGCTGCTGGAATTTTCCACTCCTGTACCTCCACTGTTGGACCTGTTTTTTTACCTTCTTGGGAAAAAAAGAGAGATCACTAAGACCTTGCATTGATTACAGTGGCATTCACCAGATTATTGTGAAAAATAAATATCCACTTCATCTTCTCTCAGCACATTTTGAACCGGTTCATGGTTCAAATTTTTTCACCAAGTTGGATCTCCAATACAATTACCACATGGTCCGAATCAGAGAAGGAGACAAATAGAAGACATTCTGGACCCCTCTTGGGTCATTTTAATATCGAGTAATGCCTTTCAGCCTCACGAACACACCTGCAGCTTCCAGTCCCTTGTGAATTATGTTCTTAGAGATTTTTCCAAATTTGTTTGTATTTGTATACATTGAAGACATCCTAATTTTTTCTGGGACCTCCAAAATAAGATCCATGTGTGTCAAGCTTCCTAAAGTCTTCTAGAGAAGCCATCCTTTGTCAAATCCAAGAAGTGAGAGTTTCATACCACATCAATCTTCTTTTTGGGACACATTCTCGAGAGCGGGCAGGTGAAGACAGATCCAGAGAAGGTTAAAGCCATTCTCAATTTGCCTATTCACTGAACTCGCAAGCAGCTACATTTTTTTGTATTTAACAACTTCTACAGTAGATTGATTAAAAACTAAAGTCAAACTACTCAACCCTTCACCAGACTTATCTTCTCCAAAAGGCCATCCATTTGGTCACCTGAAGTCAAAAGGTATTTTATGGACCTCAAGAAAGGGTTTATTAATTCCCCAATTCTGATTTGCCTAGATCCAGAGAAACATCTTTTACTTGAATTTTATGCTTCTGATATAGGGTTGGGTGCAGTCCTTTCTCAAATTTTCTCTGACGATAGTAAACTTCAATCATGTGCTTTCTTGTCTCAAGCAGAACAAAACTACGGTGTGGGTGATAGAGATCTCCTATCGTGGGAAATAAAGGATCAATTTCTGGAGGCTCAGAGGTTCGAACCGGACCCTGGCACTGGAACTCCGAACCATATTTATGTTTATGCTTCTATTAGGTCCCACCTTATTCACTGGGCCCACACAGCTAAATCCTCCTGCCATCCTTAAATCAACCAAAATCTTGCACTCCTTAAACACAATTTCTGGTGGCTTACAATAAATACGGATATTAAAAGTTATGTTCTAGCCGTGCAGTATATGCCTGCAACAAAGCTCACCACCCTCCCAGTGGTCTTCAGCCACTCCCTATTCCTAAACGTCTGTGGTCTCATATAACCTTGGTTTTTGTTACTCAACTACCGTTGTCTAAGGGTTGTATCACCATCCTCAATATAATCGTCCACTTCTCCAAAGCCTGCTACATCATCCCTCTTCATCAACTTCGATCCTCCCTTGAGACAGCTCAGGTTCTGACTAAGCAAGTTTTTTGCCTTCATGGAATCCCTTGTGAAATCCTGTCAGACAGGGGTGTGCAATTTATCTCACTGTTCTGAAAAGGGTTTTGTACTTCTTTAGGGGGCAAGAAAGCTCTCATTTCAGGTTTTCATCCCAAAATATTTGGTAACTCCGATCACATTAACCAGAAGCTTGAGGCATCCTCCCGCTGCCTCTGTTCATCACACCCATCTTGATGAGCACTCAGTTGCTTGGGCAGAAAGTGCACATAAGTGTCATACTTCCTCTGCTACTGGTCTGTGTCCATTTGAGTCCTATCTGGGATATCCACCCTCTTGTTTTCATCTGATGAGCAAAAAATTGCAGTAACCTCTGTGAAACATCACATTTGGCACTGCAGACGGGCCTGGAACCTGATTGTTTCTGCCTTGAAGCAGTCTGTTGCGGTCCACATCTGGGTGATTGCAAAAGGAGTTCTGCTTCTCAATACTTACCTGAACAAAAGGTTTGGTTTTCAACTCATGACATTAACTTCATGACATTCTCCTGGACCTCTGGGGTACAGTCTGAATCAAACTCCTACAGATCCAAGCTACCTCTCAAACTCTCAAGTAAGGAACTCAATCAGTCATCAGTTGTCATCAACCAACTCTTTCCTGATCAGTCTGCTTTCTCCCCTCAGATCAACATGAAAGTTCAACTGACGTCCTGCAATTTTTAGAAATCAGATTCTTGTTGCTTTTTTAAATAAAATATTAAAACTCACTGGTTCTCCATGTGATTCTGCATGTGGGTAAAAAAAAATACAAACCAACATGACAGCCCCCCAATCTAAACTACAATAACAGCCCTTCACAACTTTTATTTGCATGTTATATGTATGCTACCATCTGTGGTCTACTTAGTTAATTATTTTTTGAGTATCAGACACTTATTTAGCGCAATCTAGTGTTCTAGTAATCTGATGGAAGTGTCGTAAGTGTGTTGGATTTTTATCAATATCAACCTCAAACTCTAATATGAATGCAGAGTGTCTTAAATTTTACACTCAGCTCCAGCAATAAACTGCTTACTTATGAAGCCAACAGTTTACATTTCTCTTAGTCATTAATGTGTACCTTTAGTGTTGACACCCTTGTGTTGCTATGCTTGGGACTTAAGTAGGAAGTAGTACAGTTCTTGTGCATCTTGGTTCTCTTAATTTGAAATTATATATTTTCTTGTGATTTTAATAATTTTGGTGTAATCTAATGAAATAAATGCTACATGTGACTTTTTTAAGCCTAGAGTTTGTCTATAACAAAATACCAGTATAATCCATGAACTTTTTTTGTAGTAAAGAGACACAGAACAATAAACCCAAATATTTTCTGAATTGAAAGCTGATGCTCACAGTGCCCTCAGTTGGTTACCTGTCTGCCATGGTGGTTTCCGTCTCCCAAAGCCATTAAGATAGAACGCTGCTCTCTGCTTGTGTGAAACCAGTAAACACCACCTCTTTGCAGTTATCTGCCAGTAAACAATTAGAAACACAGCAAGTTTGGTGGCACTCAGTGGAAAGAAAGAAAACTATTACATAAACCCAACATCATAAAAAAAAAAAAAACAACAACCGAAAAACAAAACAAAAAAGCAGTATATATGTGCATATTGATCCCCAATCTTTTTCCAGCCATTTTCCCAGCTTTGTTTGATTTGCAAAATTAGATTCATGCTCAAATGTGAGCAGTCCCAGCTCTCTGTGCTGGTTCGGTCTGAAACTTCTACACCCTTGGTGTCTTTACACCCATCGATCACATTTCAAACCCCAAAATAAAACTTAAATCATAAAAACAAACTTACAGTCATGTCTGGTTTTAAATGCTGTGACATCTCTCTTTTTTTTTGTTCCTGGAAGCACATCTTTGTTGATGATTTTCTAAATATAGCGACATCTAATATCCCTGATTAGTAATATAGTTCCATGTGTTTATGGCTGCTACTTCAGTCAGGGCTCCTTTATTGCATGTCCAAAATTACAAAGCCATTGAACTAAAGAGAACTCCAAGTGACAAAGCAGAACAATCATGTTACTTAAGGATGTTAACACACGTTCCTTCCGCTAAGATTGCCAGCCTATGAACATTAGTCTCTGCTGCAATGTGAGCAATGTTTGTTCTAGTCTCATTATTATGTAGATTTCAGACACAATGTGAAGGAAGCATGTTCTTTTAGGGGGAGCATGTTGAGCAACCATGGGCTGGAGGCCTCACAGGATGGATGGGATAGGGGAGCGAGAGCGGCGTAGTGGGCAGGGTGATCCGTAGGGTGAGTTCACAGGAGACAACCTCAGGGTGTTACCAGCTATGCCAGCAATGTTGGTTAAGCTCCGGGATTTCTCATAGCCTTCAGATGAGAGGGACGACAAAACGTGTCGGTGGAGAAGGTGGTGGTTGTGCAGGACATGAACACACACAGGCAGGCAGGCAGGCAGGCACGGAGGCAGGCAACGATCCAAATCCGAGCCGGCCGATTGAACCAAGACAAGACAGAAGACAGGAGTGAAACAGAGCAACAGCAACATTCTTTATGGTGAGAGCATGCACTGAATATTTTCTGACAGAGACCGGAAGGCTGGTCTCAGGTGTTTACAACAGCAGCTGCTCTGGAGCGAGAAATAACCAAACTGGATGAGTTGTTCACCAATGTCGTTAATGTAATCCGATTTAAAAATAGAATGCTTAGGTGAGAATAATCGTATCCCCAGACAAGCTATGACATTTCTAAACTAAGAATAAGAAACAAATAAATATAATATCTACAATTAATGAGTTGACATTCTATACAAAAAAAGCAGTCAATTTAATTATCTTTGTTAAAACTCTGCAAAGACTTTTTGTAATGTCTGAATATTAACAGAGCATGGCATCAATTTATTTGAATAATAAAATCACAATATATGATAGAGGAAAAGCATCAAAGGGAACTGTAAAAGACGAATCCAAGTGCTATTTTTGGGCCTTCTGCAGTGAGGAACGTACGCCTCTTCTCCTGATTAATTTAGAACTATTTCGCCCTCCTTGTAGCTATTTCCAACTGATTTGTACTTTAAAGGTATAGTGGAGGATGTTCTTTTTCCAGGTGGATCATCAAAATAAGTGGTCCTCCTAATTGCCAATCATTCTGGTGATATGTTTATGTAAGGCCGTCCTAGGTGCTCATCTTTATTTTCACTTACCGGTGGTGAGTCTAAAATAGTAGAAAAAATGGAAATCTTCTTTGGAAAGTAAGCATGTATGAGTTATGCAACCATTAACTTTTAAACAGAGCGTTAACGATGAGAAATGGGCTTGTGCAAGCTCTCGCACACGTTTAAGATGTTCCTTGTACCCTCTCCCGAGAGGGAACACGAGTAAAGGGTTGTGCACGTGCATTATTATTTGCAAGTGGAAAAGGAGGGTCTCTTTAAAAGATTCAGGAAAATCCTCCACTATAACATTAAACATCTTAAATGCCAAAAAAACAAAGTCATATGTTTCACATAAAATTAGCTGAAATCAATGCTTATTTGTATTTTGTTTGGGATTTTATCATAGTTTAGCAATTTTACTGTCTAAGTTACCTTAAGTAATTAAGGCACACACCTCAGGTAGCTAAGTGCATACAAAATTGCAGTATTCAAATGATGATAAAACAGTTAACAATGGAAAAAGCCATTTGAAAATAAACTTATCCTTATGAAAAACTAATTGCTCCCTAAAACTAATAACAGACAGTTGTTATTTTCACTCCCTTTAGCATAATTGTTTTCTTTGAGCCAAATAATTTTTTAATAAAAAATAATCTTTATGGTTATACCGAAGTACTGTAATCAGATTTGAGTTAGAACTTTGACCAGGCTACTCCAACGCCTTAGTTTTTTTCCACCCATTCTGAAGTGGATCTGCTGATATGCTGTAGCAAAACACAAGTTCAGTAGAGCTTAAGGTCACAAACTGATGGCCTGGATATTCGTCAGGTTATTATTTTTTAATATTTTCCTCAATTTAAAGCTCATCCTCTAGTAAAAAAGTGTCCCAAACATCTGCCAAGATGTTTCACTGATGATATGCTCTTTTTCTAAATTTCTTAGAAAAAAATGTAATAGAGAGCACAGCTTCCGTTTGTTGTTTTTTCAAAGGTCTTGTTTTCCGCCCAAACCAGAGATATGTTTTTTTTTTTTTTGTATTTTGTTTTGAGGGCCAATACTTTGTTTCTCATTTATTCAATTTCTTAAACAGATTTCACGATTCGGCAAATCTGGCTCTAACTGAGATGGGCATAGTACCTAAAATTTGTACTTGTGTCGGAAAAGCAGTACTTCCTAACATTTTTACTTTAAAAAAGTAAGAAGTTTCAATCCAAGAAATAACTTAAGAGTAAAACAAATATTTAGTAAAAAGGCTACTTAGTTAAGTAGTAACTGATCTACTTACTACTCATGATCATAATATCTGATTTAACATTTTACATAAAATATAAATGTATATGCAAATTGTGATGTTTCAAAGAATGAGATGAAAAAATAACAACACAATAATTACACAATAACAATTTATATTAAAGGAATACTTCAAAATGCATTATTATATATTTTTTTTTATAAAACTATAAATAATAGAGTATGTTAGAATAGGGTAAATTACAGTAAGCTGTTTACTGTATTCCTACCCAACCTCTTCATGAGATGGCTGAGTCAGCCAATGAAAAATAATATCAAACCCATAAGTACAAAAAATAAGTAGGTGTGTGTCTTTCTGGTGCATCATTGCCTAAACTAGCTTGTGTTTATTAAGTGAAGTTATTCATGATGGGTAGCTAGAATTTTTACTATAGTAAGAGTAAAAAGTACAATGTAGAACAGGTACTTCTAAAAGTACTTTTTTTTTTTTCAAAAGGTTACCCAAGTAAATGTATCGGAGTAAATGTAAGTAGTTACTACCCACCTCTGGGCTCTAATGATTTAAACATGGTTTGTTGATCTTTTCAATGATTTAACAAATTTATTCATGATTTGACAATCCCTGTTTCAATAAGGGCTGAGATGGTTTTGACGGATTCTCTCCTGTAAGGAAATAAAAATTTAAAACTAATGTTTTTCATTATTCAGAGTCTTATATGACAATTGTCTTAGTAATTTAAACAATTTAATGTAAAATCTAAATTAAATCATCAGTAACGCTTTACATAAAACCCTATCAATGATCAGCAGGGATACCTCAGTCCCACATCTAGGAGGCATCATGATCTCGCAGCATCGTCATCTATGCCTAATATCAGAATTTCGAGGCATACTAAAATATTATACTTTTCAGGATACTCCTCAAGCTTTATGTGTATTTTCCCTGCTGGCCACACTCATGTCAGAGTTTTGCACTTTTTGGTTCTGTTTAAGTTTTCTTTTTGAGTTTTCATATGTTTCGCTTCCATTTTGTGTTGTTTTCTGGTTTTATTTGGGCTCTATGAGTCATCATGGCTCTAAGGGCTGGCCTAATTGCTTTCATTCACCTGTCTAACTGCCCGGTTTCCAATTACCACTTATCTTATTCACCTGCTCCTGCTTCTTTATGTATGGCTGAGTCCAAGCTATCGGGGCCAGATCATTGAGATTATTGATGTTGTTGATGATGCTATAGTTCATTTTCTCGTTCTCGGGGGCCAGAGAGGGTTTAGAGTTTTCGCCGTGTTCCTGGTTTCCTGATCCTGATCTGCCTCTTATCCCTGTTTCTGTCTTGGCTCAGTGGAGAGAGCAGGTTTTTAGCTTGCCGTATTGTTCCTGATATCCTGCTCTCTTCTGCCTCTCAACCACTGTGCTTACCTGTTCCCATCTGAATGTTCTGCCTGAACTCTCGGTTGGACTCCTGGAACCCATAACCAGCCTGTTCCTCTTTTGATCGGAATCCCTGACCGCTCTACGGACTCCTGGACCTCTGAGCCGTCCTGTTTGGATTTGTTTCCCTGACCTGACTTGGACTCATGCTTGCCATCCGGGACTGAAGAATTGGGGACACTAAGGGGGTTCTCCGGCTAATATAGCTTGGCTAATAAACCAGGTAAGTGACTTCCATGAATTATCATCTTACAGCAGATCCAAAGCTCTGCCTCTCTTTCAATAAAAGTCTTTTAAATAATCACTGTCTGTCTCGCCTGTATTCTATGTATTTCTTGTTTACCCTCTGTTTCTCCCTTGTGTCAGTCTCCTTCCGCTAGCTCCCTTCTAGATGCTTCCATCCACACCTGTTCCTCATCAGTTGATTAGCCGAGCCATTATTGGCATCAAGTATTTGACATAAACTCCAATTTTCTCAACTTAAGACATTAAAACAAGAGGAGAAGGAGATGATTAATGCTAAGGACTTGTTATAGAAAAAGGATGAGTTCAATCAAATTAATGTCCTTGTTCATTTTGACAAAGTGGAACATTAACCTATTGGAAATTGTTGTTTAGGTCACCAAACTCAACCAGTCAAGTTAAAGTAACCTCCGGAGCAGCTGTGTTTGAGCAAATGCAGTCAAAAAGGAGACAAAATCAGTCAGAAACATTATATGAAAAATTAAGCTGTAGGTGTTATTACTTAATGACAGTCATCATTAATATTTTGTCTGGCAATTAATAAAAAAAAAACAGATTAATCTCTACAGTGAGTTCTACTGTTCATATCTTCGAAACTTTGTAACAGTAACATCATGCCATACTTCCAGCACAAACTTCAGTGTATTTTATTACAATTTTATTTGACTTTTATTTTGACTCAAGGGAAAGTGCCACATAACTGTGGAGATAAGGAAAATTAATCCATAGCAGCCTTAGGAGCAGAGCAATGGAAGAACTCATAAAAGAAATAATGAATTTAACTAGTTATCCCACTGTCCAGGCACCTGCAGACCTGTGAGCAGTCGACAGCGACGTTCATTGTGTTGTCTGTCACTTCTTGCCGGCAAAAAACAACTGGCAAGGTACTTAGATACAAAATCTAACTGAATACTCGTAAATTTTGTTTCTTGCACAATATATCTTATAGCAATTGTGGGTAGGCTGCTGTTTGGGGTGTGTTTTCCTAATCTATAAAATAATAATTGGCCAAAATAGGTCAGGCTTAGTCAGATTGGGTGGTTGTAAACCGTTCCATTGTATCTCTGGCTGTATGTATAGCGTTGCTGTGTTGATTGAAGTCTTTGTAATTTGTTAGACCAGCAATAAACCTCAAATTTGGTCCTCCATGGCCAAAGTTGCCCTGCAGCTTGAAGGTTTTACAGGTTTCTCTGCTTCAGCACAGCAAATTTCCATTGATAGCTGATTTACAGGCTTTAACTGAACAGAAATCATCTGAATCGCCTGTTCTAAAGCCTGGAAAGATTGAAAACCT